TTGCACTGCACACAAACCTTGTGGTTAGGAAAAAAAATAACCTTCTTGGCAGTTCAACATTTCTAATTAGAAGAGACAGCAAATAGAACATGCTTTGTAAACCGTGAAGACTATAATATTCTAGAATCTTTGAATCAGGGTACTAAAATGAAGACATACATTTTAGCATGTTGTCTAAAGACAAAGTACAATGAGGTTCCAAAGCAGTTTTGTTTGTTTTAGGATGAGTTCTGTTGTATTTTCTCATCTTATCTTTTTGTATTTATTAAGAAAACAATGTCATTAAAGGGACTAAATACTTTGGGCTCTGAATGTGTCTAACAGTCTCTTCTTTCAGATTGTACTTTTCTGAAGCTCCCTTGCAGAAATATTTACCAATACTGGAGAGCTGACTGATTCATTTATAATCTTGGTTGTTCTTTTCTGATCATAATGTAGGGAAGGGGAGAAGACACCTTAAAAGCAGCTTAGATTTGAACTAAGGATTCTGAAACTAAAGGCCACCCAAGGCCGATTTTCCCAGGAGGGAATTTCGTGGCCGTGGTTAAGCAGATTCGCCTGAAGCACCCACTGCTGAGGACCACGCCCTGCAGAAGGGCTCCTGCTCACTGGAGACAGCTACACATTTCACACCGTCCTCTCTCCAGGGGAACCCCACCAGGTCTCACCCTGGTTTTACATTCGGGGTTGGTTCAAAACAAGTCTCCTTCACCTTCCGCACCTTCTTATTTTGAGAACTGAAGGCAACTTGAATATTTCTCCTAATGTTTTCCATCTTCACAGTAAATATTACCGATGCCTTCAGTTACTGTGAATGTGGCTTTCAGGTGCTATCAATCAGGTGGACTGTCATTTGCTTGAAAGCTTTACCTCAACAGAATGCAAAGAAGATGCCTGAAGGTGTTTCTTTCTCTTTTATTAGCGCCTGCGCCTGGCACCACTGAAGAGCTAGTGGTCCACCTGGGCCCTGCATCCCTACTAGCACCATGTTCTCCGATCTCACACATTCGCCCCGTTTACCTGTCTCGCATATTGGGGTGCTTCCCTAGGAGATGTACAGGAATGTGGGGAGACAGAGCCCATGTTCCCAGGCACTGCTAACACCATCTCCACACTCTCCTGTTCAGCTGTGTACCTACACCGGTCGGCAACCCTCTCTAGCCGAAGTAGGTTTGTATCGCTTGAGCACAGGGTCCTGTCTAGTACCAAATCCATGCAACATCATCCACCCTGGCAAGATCGATGGAACACAAGCAGTAAAAGACAGAAGTCCGCTCCCCATCCCACAGAAGGGTGGAGGAGAGTATTTTCCAGCATCAGGTAAGATGGAAGATGACGATACCCATTTACCAAGGTTAAAGCTGTCTTCCTAACAGGAAGGCTCACACAAGATTGACACTGCTCAAAACTCCATTCCCAGAACTATCAGAGTACCTGACATACAAGTATCAGAAGTAGGTTAAGGACATATATGAACATAGAAGTCACAGTACTCGGAGCACTGAACAGAGTGACAAAATGAAGACATGAATTCCCCAAGGACTCCTCAGTGACATCATCTCCTCTTTTTAAGAGTTGAAATGCTCATCAAAATTGGGGGATTAGTGATAGCTTCAGTGGCTTTTATCTTTTTAATTTTGGCATAAAATGCTATGATTCAATCCATACTTAACAGTGGTAAAGAGAACCCTAAAGACTGGGTCATACAGACAAAGGGGAAGAGACATAAAATAAAAAGGAGCACAACTGGAGAGAAGGATCGGCGAGTACAATGTTTAGCACACGAGAGGTGGATCTGAGTTCAGAACTCCAGTGCCTGTGTAAAGCCACACTCCACAGCTGTGACTCCAGCATAGCTGTGCTGAGACGGAAGGCAGAGGCAGGAGGATCTCCAAAAGCCTGCAGGCCACCTAGCCTGCCATAAGCAGCTGCTAACAAGAGACCTGCATCGAGCCAGGCAGAGGGCAAGAACTGACATGTGAGGTTGTCTTCTGACCTGCGCAGGCACTCCATGGCATGCACGTGCCCAGCTCTCCTCCCTAACACGACCCCCCCCCAGAGATTTCTGTTTTAAGATGAATGCACAAGGCAGCAAGAAAGGATAACATACTGAGGAAATGAGAGGGAAAAACATCACACACAAAAGAGGAAATCCTTGGTAGGATGATAAAAAAGAGGGAGAAGCCACGTTCCTGTCGGTTTCCTCCCATCCCAAAACCATTGTCTGCATCAGAATTCACCTTTGTGCCATTCCAGGGTCTTGCCCATTCCTGGGCCTATGAAATCCGCATGATGCATCCTTCAGTTTCCCCATGTTCTCTCAAAGTTGCCTTTCCCTCTTCCGTCTGTAGTCTGAGTGTCCCTCCCTCCTCTCTCACTACCCGGGTACCATATACACAGGTATTGAATGTCAAGTGCTACATTCCGGCATATTAAACTACATATACATAGTACACTAAGTATGTTCCAGGGATTAGCTCGTCCAGCTCTCATAACACAACGCTAGGGGACATCTTGACTGTTATTTGCACGATGAAGCAGAGGGAATGTGGGACTCAGACTTGGGCAGAGACTGACTTGCTCCTTGTACATAGAACGTGCCAGATCCACGTGCTTCCATCTGCAGAGTCTTGCACTTACCCAGTATGTGACCACAAGGGCATTGATCCTTAAGAGAAATGGGGACGAGCTGCCAAGAGGGGACCAGAAGCAGAGTGCCTTGGGGAAATAAAACCAACAGGCGCTCCTTCTCAATTTTGCTTAGAGTCAGCCCGATTTGAAGTAGAACCTTGTTCCCATTATGTAGCAATAGATTATCTGCCATTTTGCATTGTGGAAATGTACCCTCCATTATCCAGGCTAATCTTGTTGACTGTAGAATGCTGTACACAGACATTACAATGACAGACAACTAATTCAATCTTCTCTGCTAGCAAGATGCTACTATTAACGTCTCTTCAATGCCTTCCCTATAGCTTTCCATGCAGGGCACTTCACATAGATCACAGCGATTCCTTCCTACGGTATCTAGGAGAAAAGTAACTGGGACTCACCGGGGAAAGGGAGAGGAGGAGGGAAGAAATGAGAAGGTTATACAGTGCGACACAAAAGGCCACCAAAAAAAAAAAAAAAAATTAAAGCAAAACAAGTCAGCGCACAATGATCGATTATCTGATAACTTGCATCACAAAAAGAAATGAATGTTTATATGCCATTGCGAAATTGAAAACCTTATTTGCTTTTGATAGAAACCATGTGTTTAAATAGCCAAGGAGGAATTTTCCTCCATCAGAGAATACAGAGATAGCGCACACCTCCTAAGAAGGGAGACCCAATACTTGGGGCCTAGTTGTGGTCTTGGCAGCAGGGCCATCTCCCGCTCAGCCAAAACCCAATGGCCTCTGTTTCTCACCCTCTTCTGATTCCTGCAAATCTTCACACACCCACTAAGACCCTGTCTCCCTCTGCTTCTTAATAGGGACTCACTGAAGGTCACTGGGGTTTGACGTGCTGATGAGAGACTCCAGCTTTCCTAGGACGGAAGCAATGAAGCAGGCTCACTTCCTGGGATCAAACCAGGAAGGTGTACTATCTAAATCAAAGGGGCAAACCATGGCGTGGGCTAGAGCAGATGAAATCTCACTGAAGTAACAGAGCTACGTAATGGGAAGATCGAATGGAATACTTAATCCAAAAGTCTTAAGCTAAAAACACAATGGCAGGCTCTAAAATAATGAACTATTACAATACAGGTGCAAAGCCCTTCAAACAAACTGAGCGAGGAAGACTACCAGTTTCTTATTCTAACCAATTTCCATCAAACAAAGACAGTAGCAGCAAGGAGATAAAGTATTTAAAAAAAAAAAAACTGCCAGAGTAAAAGGAAAAAAAAAATTCTATAATGAAAGTCCGCTCATTCTCAGAGAAATGAAGTGGAATTAGATGCTTCAGTGATGGCAAATTTCAGAGTCTGGGCAGTTTCCAGTAAATGAAGCTTTTCCATAATGTCAAATGCACAAAGCTATCTGATAGCAATATATGAGCTGAATGTTTCAATTCCTATTTCCTTACACCAAATTGTTTGAAACCTTTAAGATAAAAACTTTAATAAACTAGTGTTCTGATCTTTTAATATTTTGTTCCCTTGAGCATTTCGGATTAATCTCCAGATGGCAATGGGCAGAAAGAGCATCCAAGCGCGTCCTTAAGCCCATGCGTCTCTCAGAGGATGGAAACGTGAGCAGCTGCCTTGGCAGTTGAGATGTCAAACTTTCTCGGTCCTGAAGGGCAGCACTGTTCTACGCGCTAGCGTTCCCTCTTGAAAGCAAGGGATCCTAGTTACTGGAGCACACCCAGGCTCACGGCAGGCCATGAACAAGTAATGTGGAAATAAACGGTTGGGATGGCTTAAGGGGAGGGGTGGGAATCTTGCTAAGGACAGCATGAGTCCTAGTATTGCCCAGAGACAGAGACTATCTCCGGAACTAGAATTATCACTGTGGAGCAAGAATTTGCACGTGTGTCTTCAAAGCGGCATCAAGAAGATAGTTCCCTGAGCCACTTAGGAGGGGATCATACTCCAGCTTCGCCCTTCCCGAAAAACTCTCGCTGCGTCTGCACACCCGCAGCCCACCCACCCCCCTTCTTCGGGTTTAAGTTCAAGATTCGCCCACTCTGGTCCAGCCCAGAGCCTCAGCATTCCGGAAATAGCGGTTCTGGACTGCCTGCTCCGAACAGCACAGCACCCCGTGCTAGGCGCGGGTCGGAACGCACCCGGGATGGCCACGGCCACCTCTGAAGGTGCCAGAGGGTGACTGGGAGCAGCAGGGCACGGGGGAGGAGCCAGCTCAGGGCAACCGGGGGTCTCTGACCCTTCGCCCCACTCTCTGGCGAGCGCCGCGGAGCAGCGAGGGGAGCGCGCGGGGCTGGAGGGGCCGGGACCTGGGGAGGGGGCGCCGGGGCCTCGGGGAGCCCACCGCAGCCCGGGCGCGCGGCCGTACCTGGCGTGGCTGTGGTTGCGGGGACAGTCCTTCTTCTCCATGATGGCCGGCACGCAGTTGGTGAGCTCGGTCCAGTCGGCGTGCAGCCCGCAGCTCCAGCCGGTGGAGAAGCGGGAGAAGAGCCAGGTGTCCTTCTTGCCGGGCCGGTGGCACGTGCACTTCTTCTGGCCGGCCTTGCAGGTGCACGGCTGCTCCAGGCGGATGTTGCGCACCAGGTGGCGGCCGAACGTGGTGCCCCCGGTCTTCTGGATGTGCAGAAACACGATCACGTCGCGCCCCTTGATGTTGAAGTCCACGAAGCGGGTCAGGTCCTTCGGGGTGAAGTTGAAGCGCGGCGCGAAGCGGGGCAGCGAGCCGTTCTCGGGCGCCTCGGGGTCCGGCTCCTCGTCCTCGTCCTC